CACCTTTCCTCCTATCAGAGGATGGGGCCTGGACATGGAGCGTGGCCTCCATTTCCAGGGCTGCACGGCCAAAGGACCTCCAGTCCTTGTGCCCAGCGCTGTACAAAGCAACAACAAACTTCTCAAGCGCTGCCCTGCAGAAGTTGGTCAGCAAGTCATCTGAAGACATGACCAACCCAGGGGTGGAGGTAAGTTGCTCGAACTCAGCAAACAAGGCCTGTAGGGTGCCGCTGTACCGCTGCTGTCCCAGGCGAGCAATCTTGTCAGCAGCCTTGCGGGCCCGCTCCTTGTCTGCAAATCGGTCCTCCAGGGCCTGCAGAAGCTTGTCTACCCCAAGGCCAAAAGCCCAGTCCTCCATGGACTGCTGCAGGCTGCTGGAAGTTGAAGTGGCCCACTTCAGTGCAGGCCCTTCCAGCAGTCCCAGAGCAGTCGCCACCTTGGTCTGCTCTGCACAGACAAAGCCCCTCAAGTAGGCTCTGGTCCCAGCAGCCCAGTCCCCAACATCAGTCTTGGTGTCATCGCCCCTGAACTTGTTGGGAGCAAGGATCTTGGGACCTCTTTGGTCTCCTGCAGTCACAGCAGCATAGATGGCCTTTTCTGAGGCCTTTTGGGAAGGGGTAGATGACCGGGAAGAATGTACAGAACCAGCATGGGATGGATGTGATGAGGGAGGGGGTGAAGGAGAAGGAGATGGTTTGGGTTTCAGTAGAGGGGGCTGAGGAGTAATCAGCTTGGCGGCTGCCAGTTGAGCAGTCAAGTTCCGGATAGAGTCCCGGATCTTGGACTGCTGAGCTGACAGCTCGTCAACCCGACGCTCCAGTCGTACAAAGCGATCATCCCAGTTCGTAAACTGGGAGCTGGTGATCTTGTGTTCCAACAGGATCATCTCTTCCATATGCTGGGTGATCTGGGAACAACGATCATCTGTGCGCGCTTTGTCTAGCTGCTGCAACAGATATTCCCTTCTGGAATGATCTGTTGCAGCTTCTAGCTCAGCTGCCTCCTGCTGTTCCACTTCTGCAAGTCTGGCCTGTTGCTGACGCAACTGTTCTTCCAGCTCCTTCTTCAACCGCTGAGTAGTAGTCAGAGGTGGAGGAGGAGGAGTGGAGGCTGAAGGCCGTTCACCTTCCACCTTCATCACCACTTCCACCTGTGCCCCCTGATCAGACATTTTCCCAGTTCCAAAATAAAACCAAAAATAAAATAAACAGCAGACAAAGTTTGCAGCGATGCTCCATTTCCTTCAGACTCACTGGAATCGCTGCAATAACTCAACACTGGAATACGTGGGTGCACAGGCAATCAACGGGTTGGGTTGGAAAGGTGTCTCTGGGGTCAGGTGTCAGACAGACTGTAAGTCCAACAAAATCAATCACACGATTTCCTTTTACTGACCCTGGACCACACTTAAGTAGAGTCACTCCACTACTCTTCCAAAGACCCACTAGTTTTCCAGTACCCACTAGAAAACGAGTGTAATTAGTGAGAATGATCGAAGATGGTTAGTACAGACAAAGAGAGATCAACCACAACAAGCGATGCAGACAAATACCCTGTATCCTGACTCAGACTCAATTTAGACTCTGATGACTCTGGCGGCCATACCCTAGGCTATGGCGAATTACAGTTTTCACTGTATCCAGTGAAATATTGCAAATCCAATCCTGCGATTCTACAGTATTGCCTATTTTCAAATTGTGATTCACTGGGGACTGACAGAACTGGATTCTGACGGACAGAATTGAAGTTATGATTGACCCTAGGTAGCACAGGCTAAAAATAGACTCGGCGCAAAACAACAATTCTCAGTATCACTATTTTTCCAGTACAGAATTCACAGTTTGAGCATCCCAGAATAATCACAACGCAGTATAGCAGTCACAGAACAATTTTGGATTAAAAAAAGTCAGCAGAGGGTGAAAAATGAGCAGAGAGAGGTAGGGGAGAGATGGCTATGGCTGTCATGCAGTCTGCGATTTTCACATCCAGTCACTGGCAGACAGATAGACCATTATAATTCACTAATCTAGTACTATCTGGATCGCAATACAGGTAAGTGCATGGAATGGACTCACTTTCAGAGAATCTTGCAGGTGATGATGAAGATCTGGCTATGGTTGATGATACTCTTATCTCACCAATTTCTCCCAGATATTCCTCCTGACACTTTCACGCACAGAACACCTTCAAATTCGTTGATCCTCCTCAGGATCCTGTAGCGCTGCATTCCCTCACTCCAGATACTCTGTATCTGGTCCTGTGGCGCCCAGTATGCCAACACCAAAATATCTCGCCACAACGCTTGGTAACCGTTGATGCTAAAAATAGCCCCAGATGAGGTTATTTCTCCAGGAGATTGATACAGAATGTCAATCTCCCTCAGCGCAACCCAGGGATGATGCCGCTCAGGGTTCCCTGATGTCCTCAAGGGTAATTCGCCACTCTGGGGTAATTCACCACACTACCCTCAGGGTTGGCTATGGCGAATTAGCCCTGTACTCGCCACTTCCTGACAAGCGCCCTGACAGACTCAGTGCGCTTGCTCAGTACTACCACTGAACACCTGAATCCACCGCTGAAAGTCTTCTTCCCTGCTGACTCAGTACTGGGGAAGATGAATCGCCATGAAACTCTCGCCAGTAGATCGCCGGATGAAGAAGATGCCTCAGTGCGCTCAACCCTCAGTGTTCCAAATCCAATCTCGCTCCGATACCAACTGTTATGAACTTGGTTGTCTGACGAATTTTATTGCCACTCACACACAGACAATCTCATACATGCCCATACATGCATAAGAGAAGGGGAGAGAGGAGACAGAGTCCAAACTGCACACAGGTAAAAATAAGCAGCGGAAGACAATCATGCACAGATGGGGAGAAGACACACAGTGTTTCTCACTCTCTGACACAACTCCCAACCACCAATCACAAGAAAGAACCTGCGAAGATCACAATTGGAAATCACACTCATGATGAGCCACTCAAACAATTATCGTAACAGAGTTTGTTCCAGTATCTCGCCACTCTTAGAACTCACACCCCACTCTCTATCCTACACCCAGTTAGTAGTGCCCCATCAGAACAGCCTCCCAGAGGCCAGCGCCAACCACCCTGATGAAGAACAGGTCCTGCGATGAAGTCTTCAGTGTCAATGGACAACTCTGACGAAGGAACAGGCAGCTATGGCTGCCACCACCCACGAGTACACATAAGACTCAGTAGGGGCCGGATATGGCTGCTGTCAACGGTGCGGTCTCAGGATGCCGCCTGCAGACAGTCACCGCCACCAACTTGCTTGGCTTCTCCAACGCTGCTTTGCGAGAAATGACCTGCCAAAAGTCCTGAACCGATGGGCCTAACCTATCTATAGACTACCTAGACCTAGACCGGACTGACTGACCGACCGGTACCGTTGCTGTTTCGGCCTCTCGGCCTCTACCGGACCCGGCTATAGGCTATAGGACCGTCTAGCAGCATAGGCCGCTTAGGGCCTGTCTGTCCTAAGGGTAGCCCGGGCCTGCTATAGGCAGTTAGTGTAGCTGTAGGAATTCGGGTTAGTGCTGGGCCTATATTTTCCCAGATTTACAGATATGTCCCTCACGAATTTCCTTACAGGCAGGTCTCTCGGTTAGCCCTCAGCCAAACAAAATTACGAATCTTACCCTGCAGGTTAGTGTACAGCCTCGCAGTCAATCTCGGCAGTAGAAATCAGCAAGTCATTGCATCATAACCTGCAAAATTGCAGACTCTTTTTTCTGAGTTTTTTTTTTTTGCCACTCTTCTGTGTGTTTGCTGGGATACCTACTGTCCGAGTCTGCTCCTGGTATGATGGTTGCTGTTATCTGGTGGTCCGTGTGTCTGTTCATTTGTCTGAGTACCTGAGTATGTGCGAGACGATGTGTAATGGCCTGTGCATTTTGGTCCTCTCGAGCCCGGTACGAACCCCTGCTGGCCTGTGCAGTGAGTACAGGGCTATTAGGCTACAGAAGGCTAGGGGTAGATAGCCCGGGCGGCCAAAATCAAGTAGTAGCAGGTAGGTGGGCAGAAAAAGTCAAAAAGTAGGACCTTTGGTAAGCAAAGGTATTTCCCTGAGGTCCGGTAGGCCCATACAGAGAAGTCAGGAGCGTACCAGACTGAATGTATCCCAATAAGAGTCTAGGTCCAGGTCCTGTAGGTAGGATATCAGTCTGCGATGTTTTTCCCACCAAAAAGAGCAGGAACCAGCCGGGTCACCGGGCAAAGAGGTCGGAGACAAAGTATGTCTTGGGGATCGGTTGGTTGCTCCGCCCCTTTTCTTCACTTCCTGGCAGGAATGCTGCTGGTTGGGAGACTGGCGAGCGAGCTCCAAGAAGCAGCACAACTGGACAGCTGGCACTCATCCTAGCTGTGGTGCTTAAGCCAGTGTCAGGTAGGAGAAGGGCAAGGGAGCCTGGCGGCAGGTAATTCAGGTGTCCGCCAGGGTATCGAGGCGGAACAAGATGGCAGCGCGGCTCCGCTTGCATAAAAAAGGAATAGGGAAAGCGGATCAATGATTAGGACAGGGAAGACGGAGGTATTTTGAGGATGTATGGATGCACGAAGTGACGAAGGAGCAGTGGCAGTTCGAACATACGAGAAAGATTTGCAGGAACGAGGAGTGGCCGTCTGAACATATCAGACAGATTTACAGAATTGGTTAGTGGCAACTTAGTGCCGAACGGGAACACTGCAAGAATCAAATTCAAAGTTTGAAACACACAGACAAAGAAATTAATTTTCTCAATGGATTTCCATCTGGGAATCTAATACTTGAGAAATTGAGATCGCTACATGCCAATGTCTTTTTCTACTTTGTTCTGTTCTGCTTTTTCCCCTCATTCTTTTCCTCCAAACAGGTCCTCCTCAAATCCAGCTTAACAATATTCCCTCCCCCTCCCGCCCTCCCTCCCCACCTGTCTCCAGTCAAACAGTTGCATTTTTCAATGATTTTTGGGATTTTGGGCATTTCGAAAATGAACTCACCTCCAGGTCCAAGAATCTAAATGCCTTATCTAGGCATCTCCTTCGGTTGTTCACCTCCTTTGCAAGATTGTCAGCAAGCTGTTTCAACACGAATTCCGTGAGATGAAATTAGTGGGCCGAATATAGTGGCAAAGAACTGAAGCAGAACCAGTGCTTGGGAGATTGTGTTATTACGGTCAGTTCAGCTCATATTAGTTTCTGTACTTGTGCATTATTCTGTTAGGTGGTTAGTTGAACTTAGATTTTTTTTTTTCCATAGGTGGGAAGGTTTTCAGATGTGCAAGTAGGACGAATTTTCACCAACATAAACCATCATTCATGCAGAGAATTGCGCCAATTGCCTTCAAGTTCACAGTTGCCACTCAATTGCCACTTAACAGCCACTCTGCTGCCACCAAGAATTGGATCAATTGTTACTCGATTCCCACTGAGAGGCTTGAGGCCACGGTGAGCCCTACTGGGCCCTGTTTCCAGTGAGAACGGCCGCCCTAAGCGAAGGCGGGCCTGAATTGTGACGAGAGGCCTACTTTTGGGCTTTCCACGCAACTGGGAAATTCAGGCAGTTGCGCAGCGCCAGTTGGTTAAGTGAGCCCAGGCCCTGCCTGCCTTTCTCAAATGTATCTGAGGCAGGCCCTGGGCCAGACACGGGGCATATACTGTAAACAGGCCGCTGGCAGCTGGACACGGGTAACCGCCCCAGGCCCTGTGCCTGATTTCCCCTGTACCGGGGCCCAGCGCAGCCACGCAGCACGCAGCAGGCAGGCCATTTCCATATAGGAAAGTGTGTGCCTCCACATTTGGCATTCGGGCACTTGCTAGTTGTTGCGCAAGCGCTGCTGCGCTACTGGCAGGCAAGCGTCCACACGCTCACGGGCGAGCAGGTTATACGCAGGCAGCCATAGCCGAGCTGGCCTGCGCGTTGCCGGATGGGGCGCATGGTGGTCCTTGGGTGCACATGGCATCCGTGTGGGGGATCGAGGTTGTGAGTGATGCGTGAGACATACCTAGTGCTTGAGGCGAACGGCATTGGTCGAGATCTGCTCGTACTTCAGGGTGCTGTTGACATCACCAGCGGCATTGTAGATAGGCTAGATAGGATCTGCCATTCGTAGTCTGGGCGCTGAGCGCCAGATAGGGAGTCGACATTGGTTCATTGTTGATGATGATGAGACTATTCCAACATTGTCACTTGTGAGCTTTTGCTGTGCTCTTATTTGGTGGGACTCGTGTTGCAATTCTGCTTTTGGTTTGAGGTCACTACTATCTGGTTTCATGTGTATGATGCTGCCTGGTTTCTGGAATTCGGTATCGCTCATTTTCCTTGCACCGCTTACTTGCCATTCAATTTCACTCAGTTGCCATTCAAGTTCACTCAGTTGCCACTCAACCTTGCCACTCAATGCCACTCCGTTGCTACTGAGAATTGTGCATCAAATGTCACAATTGCCGCCCAATTGTCACTCAATTGTCACTCAATTGTCACTCAATTGTCACTCAGTTGTCACTCAGTTGTCACTCAATCGTCACTCAATTGTCACTCAATTGTCACTCGCCACTCAATTAGCACTCAGGTGCCACTTGATTATAATTGAATTGGCACTCAATTGTTCACTGAACTTCACTCAACTGTCACTCAATTGCCACTCAATTGCCACTCAATTGCCACTCAATTCGCAACACAATTGCTTTTCCATTGCTATTCCACCGCCACTTGATTGCCACTCAATTGCCACTCAATTGTCACTCGGTTGTCACTCAGTGGCAACTCTATTCGCTAGTGAGTTGTCATTCCATTGCCACTTCGGAAAAAAAAGAGCCCAAAAAAAGAAAGATGCCACACGGGGCGCAGTGGGACTGGGGGTGCAATTGGAATGGCACTTGGAGTGACATCCAGCGCACCAAGTTGCATGGAAACAAAAGGAGGCAGGCATTTGAGGCAGGATATATAGGCAGATATCGAAGTGTGTTGGATGCAATAGTAATGATGTTTTAGAATAGTCTTTTGGAAATTTTCGGATACAATAGTAATAACGTTAGGGAATACTGCACTAAAACAAAAAGGAAACGAGTTCACATATCAGGGGAGAAAACAGACAATCCAATTCGACATTTTGAATATGATTATTTGAATTTATTTCAATTTATTGACTGAAAATAAACAAAAACAGGAAACAGGATAGATATCAGACCCGGGGAGCTTGCGTTCGTGCCTCCGGTCGTCCGCACCGCGCAGACGCCAACTTTCGATTTTGAAAACGGTGTGCCGTCGTACAGCTACACCACAAAGAAGTGCCCTACTTTGGGCCACCATCGCTCGATGAGCACATGCCTCGTGCGCGCGCCCTTCTCTTCGACAGGGGGTGCTCGGGAAGCTGTGGCGTCGCTTTCCACGTTTCCCAACCGGAAGACGGCAACTAAGAGTCGACACTTGATCAGTGCCCTGTTTCCAGGTGAAGACACCAGTGATCGAATTTAGGTCGCGGAACCATAGGGTCTGGACAAGAGACTGAGAGACCGAGAGCAACCGAGAGCAATGACACAAGACGACGCACGACACGACACGACGCAAGACATAAAAGGAAAGCCTGCAGACCACGAGAGAGAAGCCCACGTCTCCTACCCCAGCCCTCCCCTCGTACTAACTAGTAACTACAAGACAAATGACTAATCATCATCCATCTTGTCCTCGCCCCCTCCCCACGGCCCATCTCGCCTTCTGACCGTTACTTCCATGTTCCATCCTAGTTTCCCCACTCCCAACCCCCACAGCTGACTCCGTCTCCATTCCCACCTTCCAACCCACAACCCCTTCTTTAACTCCCGCTCAGCCTACACCCAACCCCCCCACAATTCATCCTTGTACCGCCCCTTGTACCGCTTCCCTACACACTGGTTACGATGGCATCAGACCATTCCCCTATCCCCCCTCTAGCCAGTCCTATACGCGCTATTTCCCCCCGCCCCTCTCACCAGGTCGTAGTTCACTAAAAACGTGAGAATACTCATTCCCCCAGCCCTCCTCTCAACCCGGCTCTCTCCTCACCATCCCGCTTTTGCCTCAAGGTCCATCCCCAAAAATCTAGCCTCTCCCACATCCTGCCATTAAACCCACTGTACCCGAGCGCATTCCTCACCCCTTCCGTAAGCGTTCACCCCCCACCTCCGACTCCAGCCCTGTCTCTTTTCTCCTGCCCCACAAAGCTATCTCCCCTACTTCTTCCAGTGTGCATCCATTATCACACTCTCCCCAGTTATACTCCCCTTCCATAGCTTCCCATAAGCCCAAATACCCATTTCTCCTCCACTCCCCTCCTCCACTCCCCACTACTCCCCTACCGCCCACAACCATAGTCGTCTATGCCCCCCTACCCGATAGAACGTACGATATACTGGTTCGATCTATCGGTTCGTAGTCATTAAAGAAATAAATAGCTCATTAAAAAAAAAAAAAAAAAAAGAACTCGATAATTATAACCGCGCATCAGCGTTTCTCCTGCCCCATATTTTCAACCTCCCCCCCACTTATTCCCCCTTTTTTTTTTTTTTTTTTTTTTTTTAAAGAAACGCCCCTACCTGTGATAGTGGTGCTGTTATGAGCAGACACCACTAGCACCTGGGGGGTGGCTCCATCTATTGGTGGGGAGCATCACCTGCTGGAAAGCGGGTCCATCGTCCCTTAAATGAAATAAATTTGAAACCATAACAGAAATAATGAGTAACAATTGTGAAAGGTTCCTGCCAGCATTGATTGCCCTGGGATCCAGGGGATTGATTGAGCAGGTTAGAGGATAGAGGGGGAAATCTCTTCACCTTGATCCAGGCGCCAGATTCTGCTACTTCCTGCTAATTCCTCCTTCTCCCTCCATCCCCAACCCCAACTGTACAGCCTCCCCTTTAAAACAGATAATTAAAATGAGCTGGCCTGCCTCTTCAGCTGATTGGGGGCTTCCAAGGAAGAGAGAAGGGAAACGACTGTGAATATGGTCGCGGCCACGTAACAGGTGCAGCCCGAAAAGTTCTAGTAGCTGATGGGACTGCGCCTGTATGTTTTGAACAGGCAGCAGTAAAATGGCTGAGTACAGCCAGCCATTTGCAGGAGTATCTGGCCTGGGAAAACGGCCAGGTACTTCTGGGGGTTAATGACCTTGGTTCCCCTAGGGGAAAACAAAGGCTCCTAGCTCCTGGCCGTTGATTTAGATCGAGGGCCAGGAGCACCCACGAATTTCGCCTGGTTGTGGGCAAGGCAGCTGCCCACATGCCTTCAACTGGCTATAAAACCCACCACTCCTACCCAGCAGTATCACAAATGTGGCAGTGTTGCTGGGACATTCGCATGAGTGGATGCTGGCTGGCTGTTACTGTGGGGGGATGCTGCTGGAGGAGGGGAGGTCTGCAAAGAGTTGGAGGAGGAGAAGGGAGGCAGCCATAGCCAAAGGCTGGGAGCTATTTTTCCCCATCCTTGTGCGTGCGCTGTGCGCCTGGGCAGGTGTTGCGGCCGTAAGGCTGCGACAACAGCATTTTCAAAAGGGAGGTGCTGCCCGACTGGCGGCGCGGTGGCATCAAGGCCTTCCTGAGGGGAAGTGCTGCCCGTTTGAAGACACGGCAGCGGTGGCAGTTTACTGGGGCAGTGTACTACCAAAATTATAGCGCGACTGAGACGTAAGCATTATTTTTGGTAGGGAGGTGCTGCCGGAGTGTCGGCTTGTCAACGACACTATGTTTGACGGCCAGTGCTGCCAAAACTTCGCAGCGCTGTGCAGCCGTTTTTCTTTGGTGTGTGATTAGGCGGTGGTGCCGCACACCGGTTTTGGCGGCACGGCGAGCGGTAATCCCGCCGTTATTATTTTTTTTTTGGTGTGCAACGATTATGGTGGATCCTAGTGTGGCCTAGAGGTTGGGCTGGCGCTGGTGCATGGTTGGAATTGTGCGACAGTGGTGCATGGACCGACGACAATAAGAAAGTGCGGAGTGAGTGCACACGGTGATCGTTGGGGCTCATGGCACATGCGGCTTTGAGCCAGGGCCACCTTTGTTTTTTGTGCAGCATGCGGATCGAGCAGTTTTTGAGTTTGGGACCA